AATGGATCTAGCACTCGAACTGAAATATTTTCATTTCTTAAATTTTCAGCTGCTTTTAGGCACTCATGTAAAGTAACCCCAGCTCCGATCAATAGCGCTAAATCATCTTTACAATTTCTAACAATTTTGCCTTTACCAATTTCAAACGTTTCGTTTTTTTTATAAATAACCGGTGTATTTGGACGGCTTGTGCGTATAAAGCACATACCCTTTGTCTTGGCAGCTAGTTCTACGGCGCGTTCGCAGCTAACAGCATCACTTGGATAAAATATTGTACTGCCTGGTATTGTCCTAAACATTGCAATATCTTCTAGTCCCATTTGTGATGGTCCATCTTCACCAATGCTAATTCCACAGTGCGAACCACAGAAATTGGCGTTTGTTTGAGAAATGGCACCCATGCGAAATTGGTCAAAAGCACGTGTTAGAAATGCAGCAAATGAAGAACCAAATGCGATGGTACGATTGCGACAAGTTGCACCTATTGTTACACCGACTAAATTCTGTTCTGCTATGTAGCACTCGATGAAACGTTCAGGAAATTCTTGTTTTAATTTTTCAGAGAAAGTGGAATTTTTTGTATCACCATCAAGCGCAATTACAGACGGATTATTTTTCGCAAGTTTAGCTAATGCTGTGCCATACGCTAAACGTGTTGCAATCTCTTGTCCCATTTCGTATTCTGGAGGTGGGCATAGTGAGACTTTTTCGTGGTCTACATTCGGCACAGGCGTAATCGTTTCATTTGAAAGTGGTTTAGGCGCCTTAAAGTCTTTATCGGTTATCAAACTCTGAAGATGCTGTATAATTTCTTCAGCCTTACTGCCGAGTGGTTTACCATGCCAGTTTTCTGCATCTTCAATTTCCATAAAATACTTGCCTTTAAAAGTTTTTGCTATAATTGCTGTTGGCTTGTCGTTTGTATTAGATGCTTCATTAAATGCCTCACTTAATTCTTTTAAATTATGACCGTCAACAACTTTCGCATTAAATCCAAATGCTTTTAAACGATCCTCATAAATGTTCATTTCGTGCTGCAGAGAAGTAGGATCACTTTGACCCAAACGATTTACATCAAATATAACACACAGATTATCAAGTTTATAATGCGCTGCGAAATGTAGTGACTCCCATATAGATCCTTCAGCAGATTCTCCATCTCCAACAATAACATATATTCTGTAATTAGATTTATCGAAATTTTTTCCAACATACGCCATGCCAGCACCAATAGCAACACCTTGTCCCAGAGAACCAGTGCCGACATCAATAAAATTTAAACGTGGTGTTGGATGACCTTCTAAATCGCTATCAATTTTTCGTAACTTCTTTAGATCCTCTACTGGAAATAGACCTGCTTCAGCCCAAGCACTATATAAGATGGGAGCTGCATGCCCTTTTGATAGCACCAATCGATCGCTAGCAGGATCTCTAGGTTCATTCATATTCAGGCGCAATATTTTGAAAAATAATATTGATAAGATTTCTGCGATTGAAGAGCATGATGTTGGGTGACCGGATTTTGAGCTCTCTGTTGCTGTGATTGCATGTATACGCAAACGGTGTGCAATATTTTGTAGAAGTTCTAATGTTACACCTCCATCCGGCGCTGCGTGTTCGTGTTCTAATGGTTCACCCCCATCCGGCGCTGTTTGTTCGTGTTCGGATATTTTAACAGTAATTTGTAGAACTTCTAATGTTTCACCCCCATCTGGCGCTGTGTCTTCGGACATTTTAGAATTTTGATATGTACATTTATAAATATTTTCTGTTCAGTATTTTGTAAAAGTAGTTCTGAATAAATTTTCATTTAAATCAAAGATTGCTTATGTATGTACATATTTAAAAGCTAAGATTGTATGGAATAGAAAATAACTCTATGTTAAATAGATAAAGTAAAAACAATTTTCTAAGTTTTCTAAAGCTCTATATCTAAAAAGAGATAGAGCTGCAACGGTATATCCACTACTACTAAATTTCGCTTATTTAATACAAACATAATGATTGTTATATTTTATGGAAATTAAACATGGAAGAGTGCCATAGTAGTCCTGTCAAAAATTAAGTCTTCTATCTACTTTGTAATCTTATATTGATTATTTTCTTGTAGTTTCATCAGACTCCAGAGTAAGGTCAAGAGCAAGATTATAAGTTGTGGATATGAGGTTAAGTCTTCATATCCATATTCGATATGGCATTGAAAAAGTATGACTTGTTTAATCAAATACTACTTGAAAATATGTTGTTACTATAATCAATAAAGCTAAAGATGCTTTTATTTAAGATATGAAACTGCAGCCATATATCCACTACTTTGCGTATTCAATAGAAACATTTGAGCAGTTCTATATTTGTGACACTTAATAGATTACCACTGCGCTCCTGTCAACAATGTAGTTTCTTATGAAAACTAAATTTTGTGCATCTTATGGCCTCGGGGAATACCTAAAAGCGATATGTGTATTTGTATGGACCAAATTAGAGCTACAGAATAAATACAGAAACGCAAATTGTGTTGAAGAGGCTGAGTTCGCAGAAGGCCATATTAGCAATTATTATTATTATTATTAAAAGAGTAGACGTGAAAATTGTCCAACAGCCGGTACTGCGGCCAGAAGAGACCTATTAGCAATACTAGCATATTAGCTACATAGGCACTGAGATGGAACGACTTCATTGCCTAATTCATTGTAGTTGAATAATAGAGGTTCTAACTTCATCTAGGAAGATATAGCGGCATATATACACACAATTAAAAAAAAACATTTTTGCAGTGCAGCAGTTACTGAAACACTTTATTATAAATGTTCTCATATAATATTTTGCATAGTTTATATTTATATTAAATATAACATTAACAGGACATACATACATAAAATTAATTATATATTTAATGTATTCTCATTTAATTTAATATCGTTTTGAATTAAATAGAATTTGTTTGTTTAAAACATGTTCAAAATACCAATTTTTTTATAATTCCAAAGTTTCTAATATTAATATTTTAGTTCAGGTAAATAAATAAATACGTATTTTTCTTTTCTATCCATAAATTCGTTAGTCAGGTATATATTGTATTTAAAGATTTAGTTAATATTTTTTTTCCGCACCCTTCTCTTTTCTCGTCAGTTCAACTACCTAATATTTTAATTTTAAGATTTAATGTTTTTTTTTTTGATAAAAGATAATAAGGTTTTTCCTTTTTGCTTAGCAACATTTAGATACAATAAATTTAAGCGGAAAGGACACTAGTTGTTTGTCATTGAGAAAGTCTTAATTTTAGATATGAGATATAAAGATTATAATAATTATGATATTATAATAATAATTATGATAATTATGATATCTAGACACTTTTAAGATAAGTGATTTTTGTTTTTATTTTATATATATGGTATAGTAAATATATTTTGTAAAATTAGTATCAATAATTTTAATTTATACTTTAACATATATAATTCATAAAAAATTTATATTATTTTATATTATCGCCATTCTAAGTAATTGGATCAAAATCTGCGATCTGAAATGAAATGAAAAAATATTAATTATATATTTTAAAAAATATCCTTTTTACTCTTAAAAAAAATTCGAATATATCTAGTATTTAAGTAAATTATTTTTTAAATATAAATTGCTTTATATTTATTTATAAATTGCTTATTTATAAAATAAGTACAGGTACAAACGAGTGCCCAACTCTCGTCACTGTAATTCTATTCTATATACCAGTGGTTCCCAACCGGTGGTCCGCGATATGGTTAAAAATGCTCCGCAAATCAAATTTAACAGGTATGGATACATAGCTTGTAGTTTGTCCACTAAGACCTTACTTATTAGGAAAAAAGAATAAAAAATTTCCAAGTAATTATATACCTTTTTTATAGTCTATATAAGTTCGCTATGCATTTATACAATTCAATATTCATTATAACAGAGATGTTCTTGGTCAAAAAAGTTTGAGAACCACTGTTATAGACGATTATTCTGCTAGTCCTCTTCTTATGACAGTGGACTAGGTTTAGTAAAAAATATCGTTTAAAGTAATATCAATGAACAAAAAAAAAACTGTTTAATATCTCTGAATGATTTAGAAACTATTTTGTAAATATGAAAAATCTTCAATGAGCTAAAAATATGTAAAAAGGTCATAAGATAGTGAACGATAGAAAGCATCGTAGACGAAACATATGTTCCTCGACAATGTGAAGTATGGCAAACAAAGTTTAAGTTTAAATCCCAACAAGGTCTGTTCTGAAAATACAATTTAAAAAAATCTGTACAAATTTTTCGTAGCAATATTTCAAGAATAGAGTTTCCAACACTCCTTATAGATTTGCAAAAATGTCTATTACACAAATAAACACAAATGTTTACCTCTATCTGGTAACGCTACGAACAACCAGCCTGGTTAACGCAATTTAACCTAATCGTTTTTTGAAACTGTAGTCTGATATTAAAAAAAAAAACAGTCGTTATTTAATAAATAAGTAAATGAATCCTTGTTTTAAGTACGGAGATGTTCTGTTTATATATAGAAGTATCTATATTATGGTATAACTTATATTTGTCTACTGCAGTGAGTTAGTTTTATTCTGAAAGTGCTACGGATATTCATTGGGTTTCGTAAGGACTTGTACTAATATTTTTCCAAAATATAATATCTTTGAACAGATCTTTAGGAACAGATCCACGTGTGGGTCATTAAGAAAGTTGGTACTAAAAAAATTCTATTTTAATTATTTTATAATTGTTGCAGTGTCAAAAATGGTCATCAAAAATTTTCTTCTAACCCATTTACATAAATTTGTTCATTAAAAAATAATTATATATAATATATAAAATTAAAAAAGAATAAATAAATAAAATTTACCAACGTGTTTCAAAACTTTTGTTAAAACTTAATGCTGCGCTTAATTTGGTGCGTATTCTCGGTGAAGTCCAACGAGAACTAGCAGAAACAGTATTATAAGATGACAAGGACCGCATGTCGTTTGGATTAACACCTTCATCAACATCATCAGCCTCAGTTTTTATTTCCATTTTCTGCACAATTAAGCGTAACAAATGATGTTGTTGGTCCAGAGAACGACTTATGTCACGTAATTTACGTCTTTGCTTATCCAATTCAGCATTGATGTAGTCATCACTGTTTTCAAAGGGAATAGCATCCAAAGAAGCTAAATCCAAAATAAATGCATTAGTTTAAGTATATGAAAACTAGACGTATTTAATCTTAACTATTTACTTACATTCCTCACTAAATGGATTTGAAAACCATTTACGTAGAATGAAATCCATAAAACCCAATTTGCATTTGGTGTCATTTGGATACTCAATCAATTCCATTTTATCAATTTTCTGAAGCCACACTTGCGGAAGCTTGCGTTCCAGCTCAGTGTGGAGTACCACCTGTAATGATTATTAATTATAGTTTATAAATTTTAATTTATATATTATTTTAATTAACCTGCATGGCTAAACGCTTTAATTGTGCATTTCGCCGAACAGATTCTATATCGCCGACGGCCAAACCGATGAGCAGATTCATGAGAAGAATTGGCATCAAGATCATAAAAACGCCTGTAAAGTAATAAAAGAAATTATCAAGATTATTGTTTTTGATATTATATGAAATACTTGAATATTACTTCCAATACTTACTTAAAATCAGAAATGAAGTTACAGGTACCTTCAATTGATCGCGATAGAATGTATGTACGTAAGTGCCAACAAAATCAAGTTCACCCAACATCATGGAAAAGGTTCTAAGCAAAGACATCGGTATGTTCGAAAATGATAAATTATTCGGCTGCGGATCAATTATCTATGTGAGAAAATAAATACATTTAAAACTATATAAATATCTATTGAGTTTTGTTTAAATGGATTTAAAAAACACAACTTAAAAAAAGACAGGACAGGGGGATAAAAATAGCAGCAGTCTAGCAACCCAATCGGGTATGGTCTGAAATAAGATTACGAGAATGTGAGGGAGATGTGATAAAGCGATTTATTTTAGTTCGTGCCAAGATCCAGGGGATTTGTTACTTTAGTGGACTGAAGTATCTCGTAATTTAAATATATATCTTTGTGAAATAAACCATTAAATTAAAAAACAGTTCTATATATAATCTATTGAGCATATTATCTCTCTCAGAAGAATTTAAATTATTTTGCTTAATTTTTATAACACTACTTAAATGCTGTTTTAAAATGTGATTTCTTGATCCAGATTTCTTGATCGTAAACAAAGCGTAGCTTTGGGGTTCAAAACCCTCTAAATCGTTTAAATCCTTTTCCACTAGTAAATATAGATTAAATGTGTTTATTTGCGCTATAAATTACTTTCCAAAATAATCTGTTTAAATGAGTTCAAACACATGTATATTAAACTATTTGCATCTTTATGTAAGTGTGTCTGGCTTGATTTTGATTATCTATATATTCGTTTATAAAATAATCGATTACTTACCTTCGACAATAGAATATAAAATGCCAGACCGAAAGCAATTATAAGTATAGAGAAAACCAATAATACTTTAATGAGCGTTTGTAGGATTTCCAGAAACATTACAACATATATTCCAACCTGAAAATATCAAAAATATGTTTTATAATTAACATATATACACTGTATAAAATTAACATGCAATAATTTCGAATTTAAATGTAGTAAATGTACAAATAAATTTGTCCAAAAATAAATGGATCCCTAAAAGAATCGCTAGAGTGCTTTTAGTCTCAGCTTCCAAGTCGGTGATGCTTAGACTGTTAAACCTAAAGATATACTGTGCTGGTCGTATGCTAATAGACCTTGAATCACTCGCGGCCAGAGACAGTTTTAGACAGGTGGAGTTTTTATCTCCACCACAAATTACTGAAACTAAGCAATCTTCTTTAGATTCTTATTTCATTCCCAAAAATCAAGTTGGACGCACTTGCTA